CATATCCTTACATGGATGTAAATCATGTTGACGCAGCGACTGCAGCTTTTACGGACATTCGCACGATACAATATGACATGTACGGGGCTGTAGCTCAGTGGTAGAGCGTCCGCTTCGCATGCGGAAGGCCCGGAGTTCAAACCCCCGCAGCTCCATTGCTATGTCGTATTTCCATGTCATGTGATGAGGGTCATGGCACAATGGGTGGGAGTAAACATTTTCAAAGGTTTAATGCCTGATCTTTACTTTTCATGCTGATTTTGGAAACTCAGTGCTGTTCATGATTAGTTCCGTACTTCAATGCTTTAGCGCACCTGTCAACATAACCTTATTTAAGCGGAGATGGGGCTTAGAGGTAAGCGAACCAGTTTTCACGGAAGCACAAAAACAATTAGCTAATCAGTTGAGAATATGGATGACGGGAGTACATAACCGATTCCATTTACTCACGGACGACACGGAAAACGTAAGTCAACGTGAATGATTAACAGATATGTAAACTTATGGAGATCACGGACTAAACTAGTAGAAATGCTTTCCTGGACTGCTTTCATCATTAATCTCAATAAATGACATGAAAGTGTCGCGTAATAATGGAGCTGCGGGGGTTTGAACCCCGGGCCTTCCGCATGCAAAGCGGGCGCTCTACCACTGAGCTACAGCCCCGTACATGTCATATTATATCGTACGAACGTCGGCAAAATCTGCAGTCGCTGTGTCAACATGATTTACATCTATGTAGGGATATGTGGGGCTGTAGCTCAGTGGTAGAGCGTCCGCTTCGCATGCGGAAAGTCCGGTGTTCAAACCCCCGCAGCTCCATTATCACGTCACACTTTTGTGTCATTCATTCAGCATAGTGATAAAAGTAGCCCAGAAAAGAATTTATGCAAATTCAGTTCATGATCGTCACAAACTTAGTCATCCATTATTCATTCACTTTGACCTAAGCTTTCGGTATCGTTGGTGAGTAAATGGAATTGCCTAATCACCCTTATCATCCGTACTTTTAAGCTAGTAAGCTAATTGTTTTTGTGCTTCCGTGAAAACTTACCTGCTTATCTCGAAGTTCCCCTTTCGCTTAAGTAAGGTTAGTTGATACGTGCACTAAAGTATTTACGCACCCAAGTAATCAAGAACAGCACTGACTTTCCAAAATGAGCACAAAAAATAAAGATCACAAATTGAACTTTGAAGGACGCTCATCCCCATTTTTTGTACCATTATTGTCATCACATGAGATGGAAACATGACTTCACAGTGGAGCTGCGGGGGTTTGAACCCCGGGCCTTCCGCATGCAAAGCGGACGCTCTACCACTGAGCTACAACCCCATGGATGCGCTAATACAACGTATGGATGTGCAGAGAAACAGGAATGAATATTTCAAAATGATTGAGATGCAGGCAAGGGTATGCGGGGCTGTAGCTCAGTGGTAGAGCGTCCGCTTTGCATGCGGAAGGCCCGGGGTTCGAACCCCCGCGGCTCCAACCATCTTTTAGCGCGTGTAGACATCCTAAAGCGGTCAATAGAGGAGAACTTCGAGTATTCTGCCAGTTTGTGTATTATGACAAACTTATGTCATCTGATCTTTGTCGTTACCTCAGTGTTAGACCAACTATTCCCTGACCTCGAAACAGTGACGGCCACGCGCGTTGAGAATTAGCAAGGAGCCTGGCTTCAGGGCCATGACTACGAACAACAGATTGCAGAGATGGGACAGGAGAGTGTATGCGTGCGTGTCGTATGGAATCGTTGTGCGTGATTGCACTGAGCAAGCGCGTATTGTTCAAAGGACCGAACACTCCGCGATATTACTTTTAATATGTGATTAGTAATATTTATTCCTTTGCCTGTACAAATATGCCAAGAAAGCAATGAACAAGGACTCAGTAAAGCATAAATAAACGTAGTATTTGGTTTTGGGAATCTAGGAGAAACCATACAGCTGGAAGTCTGTTCATCCTTCTTCTACGGGTAGTGGATTAAAGAATGCAGCATTGCTGCTCTCGGAGTCGGCTCAATTGAGAATAGAAAGAACAGTGATATACCAAGTGATTCGTTCGTAGGAATAATGGGTTGCGTGTCGCAAAGAACTTACAGTGAGAACCCTTAACATTACAAATGAGGAAGGAGAGCAAATAAGAAGCAGACGTTTAACGCCTTCTACTTTTTAGTGACAATCTATTTGATTTCTCGAGACGTAATTCCACACATACTTTTTGCGATGCAGTTAGCATGGTGCAAAAAGACTTCACTGCAACTCTCTGCATTTCAAATATTTGTGTAGGCATTCACGAGGAAAGTTAATGAAAGCCTGTTTAATAACGGTGCAATAAAGGTTAGATAAAAGAGCTTTCAGCAGTTCCAGATCCCGTCTTCAGAGGAATGCGGCATTCTGGAATGCCTTAGTATATGCTCAAGTTATTTTGACTGACTACTATTCCAAGAGGCCTTCACGTTTTAAATGGGAAATAACTGAAAGAGATTAAAATTCGAGTTGGAAGTACTTCTAACGGCTTGATTGCTACACCAGTATTCTTCTCCACTTCGCAATTGCTTCGTGATCAGGTAAACTTCTTCGCTAAAGTAAGAGAAGTGATTAGTAGGCTGTATATTCCTCACTATCATTTTTAGTATGAACACGGTTATCACCGGGGCTGTAGCTCAGTGGTAGAGCGCCCGCTTCGCATGCGGGAAGTCCGGGGTTCAAACCCCCGCAGCTCCACCTTTTCCTTTTTTCTTCTTCTTCTTCTTCTTCTCACTCTATGTTTAGTTGATCATGTGGTTTCCACGCTTGTTCAAAATTACCATCCGCTTTCATCAATGCACCCAGAAGTTGTTCAGCCAAAACATTCAAATATATGAGAAACTTGAATGCTGTTAGCACAAATAGTGACCGCCTTTATTGTTGACGATTACTGGCAGATGATGAAGTAAAAGGCTTTGATTTCGATAACCTTCAAGACTTCCCATGTCCAACTGAGAAATCAGCGAAGCAAGAACCTTTTATTTCATCGACTGACGGCTCGTCAAGAAACACAAAGCATAAACATCGTTACGGGAACGTCTTATTACTGAACATTTAGCTATAATTCTTGTAATAGGTTTCACTAAAAGAAATACATTCTTTCATTAAACTTCATTATTATTATGAACTTAACAGCGTTTTGCTGTGCGAAGCTTTCAGAACGACGCGTGCGTCTTACCAACATGGAACCAACAGTGGTGACTTGGACAAATTTTGTAAGAAGTAGGACAGACGGTCAGTTTAAGGATGACGATATACGTTTAAACTGGAAAAACAGTTTCATTAGGAAACAAAGTTTCAAACCACCCATCATTCAAAACAGAAACAGTAAAACTGAAAATAACTGCAGATAACTGAAGTAGATGAATGAGGCGAAATGGATAAGAAAAATTAACAAATAAGGTAGACTTAATTAAGAAGATCCCCACGTGCATTGGTATACAGTGAAACGTTGAGTTGACGAAATGGGAACACATGCTGAAGATGCGTTATGCAACTCCTTGAGGACAAGGCAATTTTCATTACAGCTGGATGAATCCACCTTGCCTAGCAGACAAGCATTACTATTATCTCACATTCTATAGATGAGCATTTCGTACAAAGGCCCTTATTTGACGGAATGCTGAGTCAATAGACATAAAAGGGTAGTCGATGTTCCATGTTTTGAAAGAGTTTTTTGCAGGAAAAGAAACATCCCTTACTGGGGATATATTAATAAAATAAGAGAAAATATGGAGCATGATTCTAAAGTTGTTGGAGTTGCGGGGGATTGAACCCCGGACTTTCCGCATGCGAAGCGGACGCTCTACCTCTGAGCTA